GAAGCAGCGACTCTTCGCTCCTATTTCCTCGGCATATTTGTGCCATCTGTCATGGGCTTCTGATTCTTGGGTTGCCCCTATGTAATCAACGTGTCAATGGCCTCTGCCTATTTTCTAGAGGCTACTGTGGCCACTTAGGAAAATCATGCATTATTTGAGCTGTATGGGCAATAAGAGGAAGCACAGGCCAGTGGGAGGGCACTAGCTTAGGAGCCAGGAAACCTGCATACAGACCCATCCTGTGCCACAGATTTCCCATGTGATCTTGGGCAAGTCACTTAGCTTCAGTTTCCCATCTTTAAAAATGAAGACTGTGGCTCTTCCCTGTCCCACATGGGTGTTGTGAGGGTAAATACATGAAAGCCTGTGAATTGCTCAGATACAGGCCTGCTGGGTCTCACCAAAGTGCCTTACACCCGAGTGTCCATTGACTCTCCTTTATAGAGCCGGTCTCTGTTCTCAGGGCTGTGGTTCTTCAATGGAACATAGACTGGGGCACCTCAAAGTGTGTCTGCCCATGCCATGTCTGTCCTTTGGATCACTGCCTTTTGCAGTTTCTACAGTCTCACCTGCGAGGGAGGTAGGCTGGACACAGTGGGTAGGCCACAGATGAGGACATCTCAGGACATAGCTCAAGGATGCCTTTGCCACTGACTTGCAAGGGGCGGGTCTTTGGACACATCCCTCTTATCGGCTTCTCCCACTGGCTAGCTTAGTCTGAGGTCTGCCAAGCATGCTGCCTTTTATGCATGCCATTTTAAGATGCCCATCTCTCCCGGTTCATGTTCTAGAGCAGTGGTTCCCAACCTTTTCACTAGCACGGGCCCCCAATCACCCTCCAAACCATTCGCAGACCCCCATCAAAGCCAATTCTAGATGCAATTCTGGTAGTCAGCAAACTATTTTCTCACTTTTTGTTACTTATGTCTGTTTGATTAGACATTCCTCTTGCGCATGCTTCACTCAGCTCATCAGTATCCTTTCTCTTCAGTGAGACTGATTTCAGCCACAGATCCATGTTAAATGTATGGCTCACATTTGCATACTACTAACAGTCGCAATCGTTTTGTCACACAAAGGCGCCACAACATAGATTTTCAGACCCCAATTAACACCATTATTGGAAGATATTTAATTTAAAAATAATAATTGATTGTAACTTTGCAATTTATTTAAATCTTATTTTCTATGATAATTTTTAATCAGATTTCTGCCCATCTGACTCCAATGAGACTTACATTCTCCATAACGCACATGGAAGAGTTGAACTTGCATTGCCCGGATGGTGGGCTCTGTAAAAATGTTCAGATTTATATACTAGAGAAACACATTCTGGATAAAATAAACAAGTCCCTGTAACAATGTACTCACTTAGTTGGATGCAATGTGGCTTGATCAAAGAATAAATATTGGACCACGTCTAGACTGCAAGCCTCTTTCGAAAGAGGCTTTTCCGAAAGGTACTTTTTCGAAAAAGAGCATCTAGACTATAACCAGTACTTTAAAAAATCAAGCTGCTTTTTCAAAAGAGAGCGTCCAGGCAGTCTGGATGCTCTCTTTTGAAAAAGCACAGTTTGCATTACATAGCTCCTTATTTCAAAAGAGCACTTTCAAAAAAGGCATTCTTTCTCGTAAAACAAGGTTTTCTGTGATCAAAAAAACTGCTGTATTCTTTCTATTTACTTTCAAAAGAATGTGGAGGCAGTCTAGACGAAGGGGAGTTTTTTTTAAAAAAAGCCACTTTTTTTAAAAAAAACCCTGTAGTCTAGATACACCCTTGAAGAATTCTTATCTTATTGTTATTTTGTTCATGAAAATGCAGTTTAATTTGCAATAAGAGTTTGAACACCTGAATTTAACATAGGATGTGAAAACTTGTCAAGAATAAATCAAACAGCAATAAATGAAAGTTTTATGAAGAAGTAGATTTTTTTCTTCTGACTCTGAACTGCTCAGGGATGTGGGATTGTGGGATGCATTAAGAGGAGTGTTGTGAGCAAGTCATTCTTCCGCTCTACTCCACACTGATTAGGCCTCAGTTGGAGTATTGTGTCCAGCTCTGGGCACCACATTTGAAGAAAGATGTGGAGAAATTGGAGAAGGTCCAGAGAAGAGCAACAAGAATGATTAAAGGTCTAGAAAACATGAGCTATGAGGGAAGGCTGAAGGAATTGGGGTTGTTTAGTTTAGGAATGAGGAGACTGACACGGGACATGATAGTGGTTTTCAAGTACCTACAAGAGTGTTACAAGGAGGAGGGAGAAAATTTTTTCTCCTTGGCCTCTGATAATAGGACAAGAAGCAATGGGCTTAAACTGCAGCAAAGGAGATTTAGGTGGGACATCAGGAAATACTTCCTAATTGTCAGGGTGGCTACACACTGGAAAAAAATTACGTGGGGATATTGTAGAATCTCTGGAGATATTTGAGAGCAGATTGGATTACAGCTATCAGGGATGGTCTAGATGGTGCTTGGTCCTGCCGTGAGGGTAGGGGATTGGAATTGATGACCTCTTGAGGTCCCTTCCAGTTCTGCTGTTCTATGATTCTATATTTAGTATCATGAGCATTCACAGGCAAAATCCACTTCTTCAGATGAGAGTGGGGAAAAAGATGGGGAACCTCACAATAGTTTTGCCCATGAATGCTCATGATACTCTATATACATTTTGAATAGTCTCTATGGTGCTACAGGACTACTCTTTGTCTTATTAAATGTACAGACTAATACGGCTACCCCACTGAGACTTGTGATAACATGTTGATAGTTGACAATGCTGAGAGAAATTCAATATTAATAATTGGACCATCCCAAAATAGTCCACAGGGGAATTATTTTGCCCTCAATAGTGGATCAGTGAAGGGAGGGGAATACGAACCCAATATTGTCAAGAGATCTTCCATGGATTCCTCCCCATCAGTTTCCTTCTCTTGGCCACTTACTGCCCCATCACCATGACCAGAGCTCTAAACACTCATGCTCTCTCAATATACCTTCCCCCCTCTTCCTTCCAGTTTGTCTTCTCCCCTATGTACTCCATATTCTCCACTCTAATAATCCTACCAATCCCACCCTAAGCAAAGCAACTTCCCCCATTTTCCCATCTCCCCCACAAATGGCACTAGATTGCCGGGATGTACAACAACAGAGCTCCTAAGTTAGTGTTCAAACTAAAGGCTGGGTAACAGTAAAGAGGTGCAGAGGGATACATGAGATTTCCATTGTGGAGGATTTATTCAGAGGAATACTATATATCCTGGGAAAGAGGAGAGGATAAATGCTGACATAATACATTTAGGAACTGAATAGAAATAATCAGATGAAAAAAGTCCCGTTCAATTACATCACATGGTGGCAAATAGTGACAAATTTTATAAGTGGTTATATAGAAATGCTGGAAATCTAAATATGAAAACGGATGAATTTGAGTGTCTAGTATTCAATGAGCCTATTGATATAGTTGGCATCACAGAAACTTGCTGGACTGATGATGATCAATGGGACACAGAAATACAAGGATGCAAATTATGTAGGAATGAAAGAGCAGGTTGAGGTGGCAGAGGCATGGCACTGTATGTGAAGGGGGAAAAGTCACATTTAGTACAAATCTAAAACGAAACACGAATGTATTCAGAGACTCTGTATGGATAGAAATTCCAGGCTTGAATAAGAATATGGCAGAAGGAATAGACGACTGATCACCTGACCAGGATGGCGACAGTGACTGTGAAATGCTCGGGGTGATTAGGCTACAGAAAGAGAAAACACAATAATAATGTGGGATTTCAGCTTTGCCTATACTGACTGGACGTGTCACCTCAGGCTGGGCTGCAGAGATAACATCTTTAGGCACTATATGCGACAGCATCTTGAACAGTTTGGACCTGCGTGGTCCGGCAACCTTGGGACCTGACCTGTCCTGAACATGGGAATTTGCCGGACCAAGGCAGGTCCCCTGCCATTGGCTCCTCACCCCACTGCCCCTAAGTGCTCCCTGCTCTGCTACCATCCCAGTTGTCCCCACCTCCCACCCCCATCGTCACTCTGGCTGGGATGCTGCTATGCTGCTGCCAGCTCTTAGCCCTGGTTGGGCTGCCAGGGGCTTGGGCCACAGCCCCGGCCCTGCGCTGCTGCAGGTTGCTAGATGCTCTGGTTCTGGCTCTGTCTCCAGTCCTGGCTCTGGCCTGTGCTCCTAGCCCTTCTGCTAATAGGCTCCCGGGACTCTCTGGTCGAGGAACATTCACAGTTCTGCTGGACCCCGGATACTGCCAGAGCAGAGAGTGGTGGTTCTAGGTGTTCCAACCTGAAGTAGCTAGTCCACACCCCACAAAGGGTGTGTGCTATGGAGAGAATATTTGCTTATCTCTATAGGTTGTTGTGAGGACTCATACATTAAATGGTTGAAGAAACCTTGAAGGACTCATAGTACATTGGAATATGAGTTTTTTGTGGAAGTCCAAACACATTGCAAAATGAGGTGGATTTTCCCAGAATTTTATTTTAGGAGAAAACAGAAAAAAATACTTCAAACAGTGTCAGGACCTTGAATTTCCATCTTTCTTAACATATAATTGTTTCATTTTTACATTGTAAAATTACAATGAGTTTTAAATACACACGTGTTTGTTTATACCTACATTATAACACAATACAAAATGAAAAAAATTGTAACTGAAAAACAAACAGTTGATTCAACCACAAATTGTCAGAAAATCTGAACTTATGGAAAATGTCAAGATTTTCAGCTTTTGCTCCCCTTCAGAATGAAGCCCAATTTTGAAATCTCAAATCCTTTCACAGAACAGGCTCTTAATCCTCACCACCCTGGTAATTGAGAGGCTCTCTCAGTCTCGTTTGAGGGGACTGATAAAGTTTCCTTACACAGGTATCACGTCGCTGGCTGAAGAGGCTCATTCAGTTGACAGTCAAGACTGCACAATTTGCTGTTGGAATCTTTCTTGAACCTTTACTTCATGCTCCATCAAATTAACAGAGTGAGTTATTGAGAAGATAATTTTCTGCTCATCACTCTTCTGAGAGCGGCCTTCACTTCCTTGTTCCTCAAGCTATAGATCAGTGGGTTCAGCATGGGGATGACTAGAGTGTAACATGCAGAAATCACTTTGTTCTGATTGTCTGTGAAGTTGGAACTGGGCTGTAAATAGATAAATAGGCCGGTCGCATAGAAAATAGTGACGGCCATCAGGTGGGAGGTGCAAGTAGAGAAGGCTTTGTATCTGCTCTGGCTGGAGGGGAGCCTCAGGATGGCAGAGAGTATGTATATGTAAGAGATGAGAATGATCAGGGTGGAGCCTAATCCATTCACTCCGGCAGTAATGAAAATGAGCGTTTCATTGAGGAGTGTGTCAGAGCAGGAGAGCTTGAAGAGTGGGGGACTATCACAGAAAAAGTGGTCAATGACGTTGGAGTGGCAGAAAAATAAACGACTTATTAAGGTGGTGTGCATCAGGGAGTTTAAGCAAGCTAGTGCGTAAGCCCCGGCTGCCATCTTGCGACAGAATTTCTGGGACATGAGAGTCACATAGAGTAGAGGATTGCAGATGGCCACATAACGGTCATAGGCCATTATCGCCAAGAGCATGCACTCAGCAGAGACCGCAGCTATAAAGACATACAACTGCACTAAGCATCCAGCAAAGGAAATGGCTTTCCTCTCCGCAAGGAAAGTCTCCATGGCTTTGGGAGCGATCGTAGAGGAGCAGCAGAAATCCACAAAAGCCAAGTTGCTGAGGAAAAAGTACATGGGGGTGTGGAGCTGGGGGTCAAGGCTGATTAACGTGATCATCCCGAGATTCCCCACCACGGTGACACTATAGATCGCGAGGAAGAATATAAAAATGGGAACCAGTAGCTCTGGCGCGTCAGTGAATGCCAGGAGGATGAATTCTGACGCTGACGTGTAGTTGTCACCAGCCATTCTATTCAGTGCTGAGGTAGAAGAACAAATCTAATCTTCACAATGGATTCTGTAGTGTTTGCAAGGAAGGCCCTGTCCCATCTCCTGGAAGTCCTTACACAGTGGTAGGTGTCGGTGAAGGCAACGTTGCCATTTGCACAGCAGATAACTCGATGGTTGGCAAAGAAAAGTGTCATCGCCAGTTGAGAGGCACGTCCGTTAGATCCTTTCCGTGCAATCTACAGAAACAACATACATAAAACATAGATCTTAAGAATAAAACAGGAGCTTTCTGGACCACAATAGCACCTGGAATGTCAATCATGTTTGTAGCCTCTACATCTCAAACTGTTTTGAAAACATTGTGTTTCTGTTCTCACCCTCGGGTGAGCTAGAATTTGCTAAATTGTCCTTATCCAGCATCTCCCAACCTGCCTTAATATTATATAAAAGAAACTGGAGTCCCTAAATTCAATTTTTAAGGTTTTGCAGCAAGAACTGCACAGGATCTATCTCCCCACATGCAAGTACCCAAAGGAATGATTTGGATTAACAACTTTATAAAAAGATTCTCATAATGAGGCATAACAAGTGATCATTTAATTTTGCAAATACATGGCAATTTGATAAACCACATACATTATCTTTACATTTCTATGTAAAGGAAACAAATGAACTCTAAACGGGCAAGTCCCCATGGAAACACAGTGAGGAGAAACTCAGAGTTCCCAAAAGCTGAGGTGGAGTTCACTTTCGTTTCCAAATCTTTACAGCCTGCTGAGTCAAAAGCAACCTCTTCCTTCTACTTGCCTGTAGGAACCTTCACTTGGAATCCACACAGATTCTTCCTCTGCTGAAATCACTGTTAGCTAACTCAGTGTTTCTCAATTTTTTTTAAGGAAGTACTCCTTTAAAAAAAAAGTTATTAGTACCCCCAGTACCTACAGTTTTCAGATACACAAAATTGTTTTCTACCATTGCAACACAGTTGTTTAAACAAGTTAATTGTCGCTGAGCGGGCGATCAAATTTTTGGGTTTAAAAAGTACAAAAACAATAAAGCGCTGTAAAACTTGAAACAGGGGTTCCCAAACTTTTTGACACTAGGACCAGTAAATCCATTCACAAGCTTTTAGAGGACTGGTAACATTCATTTTCATATTTGCATATTCATTAAGCAAATAATGAATATGCAAATAAGTTGTTTCTGGTCCTCCCAACGTCCCCCAGTGCCAGCTTTAGTAAAGCTTTTGATGTGGTCACCCACAATATTCTTGCCAGCAAGTTAAGGGAATATGGATTGGATACATGGACTGTAAAATTGATAGAAAGCCGGCTAGACCAGGGTTTCCCAAACCTGACTGGTCCCAGAGGAGGGATTTTTTGGACCAGGGGAGGTCATTTCAGGGCTCCTGGTTCCCTCCCTCCCCACTAGGCTTCTTTGCACCTCCCTCCCCTGCAACCCAACTGAGCTGCCCACCTCCACTGGTTCTCTGCACCTCCCCCAAAACCATCCCCCACAATCAAAGGGCGTGCAGCACCAGTTCCCTGCAGCCCCTCACAGTCCAGCTGAGCTGCCCTTCTGTTCCCTATGCCTTCCCCCAACTGCCTCAGCCCAGTTGAGCCCCACACTGGTTCCCTGCACGCCTCCCCCACAGCACAGCTGAGCCCCATTTCCTTGCACCTCTCCCCAAACCCTGCAGAACTGCTGAGCCCAGCTCTGATTTCCTGCCCCTCCCACCGCTTGAGTCTTGCGCCGGGTTCCCGGCACCTCCCTCCTCCTGCAGCCCACATGAGCCCAGCACCCCACACCTCCTCCCTTCCCTGCCCCCAGCAACCCAGCCTGGCACCCCCTAGCGTAAGAGGCATAGCAAAGGTGTTATGCGTCCACCATTGCTCCCCTCTCACTACGCCTCTGCGCCGGGAGCCCGGAACATCCGGCTGCATCCTCCGCCCAGCTCAGTTCAGGACTAGGGGGACCTGGCACTGCATGGGCGCTCCAGAAGCCCGGAGTACCCCGGCAGCCACGCTGAGGCCCGGTATTGGCCGTGGCCCATAGTTTGGGAAACACTGACCTAAAACAAATATTCGGTTTTCTCCAAAGTTCAGTTGTGTTGAAGTCCCCCCACGAGACTCCTCTCGAATACCCCTAAGGGTAATGGTATCACTGGCTGAGAATCACTGAGCTAACTGATTAACCCCCCACTCAGTGAAGTGGATAGGTTAAAAATAAGCTTGCGGCAAAATGCATCAGAGTCCGGGAAAACGGCCTGCTTTCTGCTCCTAGCTTGTCCAGCTCACCCTGGGCACGTGGCCTTTAGCAAAGCAGCTGTGGTCACCACTTGCCTTCATGGGACCTATTGGAGTAGCCCAGAACTACCATACCCTATTCCAGAACCTTCTAGGTGTGGAGAGCTAATTCTGCCTAGCAACAATGACCAAGACGCAACTCACACCTATCTACCCCCAATGGGTCTCTTAGGGCACGTCTACACTGCGTGACACTGGAACTATCCTGAAATAGCTATTCTGCATCTGTTGAAGAAGCCTGTTATTTCAAAATAGTCTTTGAGGTCCAGTCCCCTGCTCTCAACGCAGGACCAAGCACCATCTAGACTGAGTTATGGATCCACAAGGTCTGAATTATGAGAGCGGATACTGAGCGTAGCTGGATACTAGCTCACCTCCAAGCCCCAGCCTTGCCCAAGTTGCTGAGGGATTTTGAAATAGCAGGAGGCGTATTCCAATGTCCCGGTAAACCTCATTGCAGAAGGGTTAAGGGGCATTTCAGAATAGCGAGTTATTCTGAAGTTTGGTGCAGTGCCAAATTCCAAAATAAGCTGCCTTGAAATACACTCGAAATAAGCTACGTAATCCGCATAACACAAATTTGTGTAGCTTATTTTGACCTACGAGTGCTGTGTAGACACATCCTTAAAGAGCGATCTGCCTACTGGGCATGGCCACCAAATTTTCAAATTGAAAATGACGAAGACAGAACAGTTACAGAACAGTCACAAGAGAAGGGATAAAGGTATAGCAGGAAGAAAAAGTACAATGCCCCACAACCAGACATGGGAGAGCAAGAAAAGGAAAATGGCTGCTCACTGAAGAAAACAAAATGTGGTGATCCTTACCCACCTTTATCCTGAGAAAAGGTGCAGAGCCAATGTTCTCTCAGCTGTGTGTCGCCTCCACTGCTTACTTTAAACCATTTGCTGAGAGGGAACCAATAGCATTTTTGGAACAACACAACCTCTCAAGAGCTGCCATAGACACTTACTGTGTCTCTTCCCAAGGATTTTGCTGGATGGTCTTGTGGAACTCAGACTTGCCTTGAATTTGCTTTGTTTGGAGACAGGCACATCATGGAAATGCACACGGAGGGGCAGTCAGGGTGAGCTTCAGAGCTTGGCTTCCCCTCATGTTAGTGGCAGAACATAGCGTGGACACTGCATCGCAGCCCAGGATGCATGACTGTTCCATTGCACCTGGCTCCGCAAATGAATTCCTGGAGCAAATCAATGTGAAGCCACCTTGTAAAGGCTGTGGGATGCCTGAGATGCTCATGCAGTTTTTACCAGGCTGGCCTGGGAGGAAGGATACTAAGTAGAAGTTCTGGGCACATCCTCCTCTAGAACACTAGAACTGGAAGGGACCTCGAGAGATCAAGTCCAGTCCCCTACCCTCACTGCAGGACCAAGCCCTGTCTAGACTGAAATTTGGATCCATAGGGTCTGTTTTATGAGAGCAAATGCTCAGTGTAGCTGGATAATAGCTCACCTCCAAGCCCCAGCCTGGCCCATGTTTCTGAAGGAAGCAAAAGAGCTAATCCTGTATTGTAGAAACCAACTCGGTCAGGAGCCCCATTTAAGCATTGACCTCACAGTGGTTTAATCCCAGAGGAAGGTGGTGCAGAGGACAAACAATGGTTTGCTGATTTCCCTGCTGGATCGAATTCATTGCACAGAGACGGCACTGAAATCGCTTGGGGTTTGAGCTGCTCCAGTGTAACTCTTCTGACCGGGACTTGCTCCGTAAGAGGGGGCTGTTCTACTTGAGACTGAGGGATTTTAAAACGTGTCTGTTTATTCCATCCGACATGAAGCAGCAGCATCCAGAAGCAGCGACTCTTCACTCCTGTTCCCTCGGCATATTTTTGCTGTCCGTCATGGTCTTCTGAGTCTTGAGTAGCCCATGGGTAATCAACGTGTTGGTGGCCTCTGCCTACTTTCTAGAGGCTTCTGTGGCCACCAAGGAAAATCACCCATTACTTGAGGTGTATGAGCAATAAGAGGAAGCACAGGCCAGTGGGTAGGGCACTAGCTTAGGAGTCAGAAAACCTCCTCATAGTTCCCTGTGGTGCCACAGATTTCCCATATGACCTTGGGCAAGTGACTTAGTTTCAGTTCCCCGTCAATAAAAATGAAGACACTGGCCTTTCCCTGTCTCACAGGATAAAGTCCTGCCAGAGGCTGAGGACTGAATCCGCTCCGAATGCTGACCTTCCCACTGACTCCTAGAAGAACTCTCAGCATTTCAGGGGGAGGGGCTTATTGGCAAAGCTGCTGGTATAATGCTGAAAATAAAGCTGCCGAGTGAATGTTCAGTCCCGTGGTTCATCTGACAAAAAAAGAGGCAGTTTTTGGTCACTCAGAGGTATTTGCCAGTTGAGGTCAAGTTTGCCAAATGGCTTTAGAAATGTCCTAGAACATGTTTCTCAACCTTTTTTTTTTTTTAAAATAAAGTACCCCTTTTTTTAAAAAAAAGATAAGTACCCCCAGTACCTACAGTTTTCAGACACACACAATTTTTTTCTACCATTGCCACACATTTGTTTAAACAACTTAATTGTAGACAGGCAAGTGATGAAATTTTGGGGTGTAAAAAGTACAAAAATAATAAAGCGCTGTAAAACTTAAAACTTCAGTTTTGTCCAAATTTCAGTTGTGTTGACGAAACCCCCAGACTTCTCTCGAGTACCCCTAAGGGTATGCATACCACTGGTTGAGGAACACTGTCCTAGAATCACAGAATACTAGGGCTGGACGAGACCTCAGGGGGTCATGTAAGACAGCCCCCTGCCCAAAGCAGGACCAACCCCAACTAAATCATCCCAGTCATTGTCCTATTTTTTCAGACCAGAGCGCGAGTTACAGTGCCCATGGGGCATGATGGCACCGTTATGCATCTCCACATTTCAATTTCTTGCCCAGATGGTTCATTATTGACATTATCTTTTAAAAATAAACCTTTTGGCTGAAAAATGTAGACAAAACCAAGTGTTGGGGCGGGGGGGGGGGGGTGACTTTTTAATATTTTCCCTCTGGTTTTACTTTGCCCACAACCAAGCAGCTAGAATATCAGGATCTGGCCTTCTCAGGAATAAACGCAGCCTTCACCACCAACCAGAGCCTGTGCTCTTCTTTACTAGTAACTTCAGGGTCTGCTGAAACAAGAAGGCTCAGGGCAGGGACCTGTTGTGTAGGGAGGGCAGGGGGCTGAAACCCCCCAAAATTCATACCAGGACTCTGCTTGCTTTTCTCCTTCTTGTTACTCAAATCCCCTGCCCTCCCCAGCTGGATTGAGGAATGTAGCCAACTATGCACTTTCTCCTCACCCCCTGATGGGAAGGCGAACAGGAAACTGGGTCCTGGTATGAATCTGGGGGGGGAATGCCCTGCCCTCCCTAAAATGGCACCTGAGGGGGGGGGTCTCGGAGCTCAGGCAGGCATGGATGGTGAGGGGAGAGCGCCCCCTGCTGACCCCTTTCATTTGCCTGCCTGACTCCTGCTTAGGGCGGCCACCTGCGGGAAAGCTCTAGAAGCCTATCTGGGTGCACATCCTGCTTCCTCCTGCAGCCGAGCCCCCCCAGCCAACTGGCTCCTTCACCTATGGCTCTTCCATCTCTAGAAAGAGCTTGAGAAATCATGGGCCATGCAGTCAGTATGGCAAACGTCAGCCAGTCCTGTTTACATGTGTACTTGCACCAGTAGTTATTGTGATACTCAGACCTGCCAATAGGGGGTGGGGTATGGGGACAACTGCCCCAGGGCTCCGGACATCACTGATGCTGTGACAGTGACAGGGGCTGAAGCCCTGGGCCCATTAAATCACCCCCGGAGCCTCACAGGCCATGCTCCAGAGCCTCTGGATGAGCATACTCCAGGCAGTGCTGAAGAGCTGGGGAAGGAAAGGCTAGCCACAGCCCCACCCCTTCCAGGCAAGGCCCCGCCCCGTCTGAGATCCTGAAGCGGGTCCTCCTCACCTGTCTCAGGGGCCCAGCCTAAGTCTGTCAACCGCCCTGCTGGTAACATGAGGCTGATGGATGTGAATCAGTAACAGTGATGGCAGTGGAAGAGGTGGGGTTTAGGGGTTGCCTCCCCCAGCCCTAGGTTCACCCACCACCCATGATCTTTAAGTACTCAAAATCACGAGACTTAATCTGAGAGAGAAGCTAAGCCACATCTGTCTCTTGTATGATTTTTACATTGTGACTCTAGCAGACTAGGCCATCTGTGTCGGACCCATAACAACTTAGCAGGAGGTATTATAATCACACGTACAAAATGGGAAGCGATGGTCTAGGAAGGAGTCCTGCAGAAAGGGATCTAGGGGTTATGGTGGACCACATGCAAAATATGAGTCAACAGTATGACACTGCTGCAAAAAAAGCAAATATGATTCCTGGATGTATTAACAGGAGTGTTGTGAGTAAGACATGAGAAGTCATTCTTCCGCTCTACTCTGCACTTGATTAAGCCTCAACTGGAGTATTGTGTCCAGTTTTGGGCATCACACTCCGGGAAACGTGGGGAAATTGGAGAAGGTCCAGAGAAGAGCAACAAAAAATGATTAAAGGACTAGAAAACATGAGCTATCAGGGAAGATTGAAAGAATTGGGTTTGTTTAGTTTGGAAAAAAGAAGGTCGAGAGGGGACGTGATAACAGCTTTCAAGTACCTAAAAGAGAGAAAAAAAAATTCTCCTTAATATCTGATGATAAAAAGCAATGGGATTAAATTGCAGCAAGGGAGGGTTAGGTTGAACATTAGGAAAAACTTCCTGTCAGGGTGGCTAAGCCCTGGAATAAATTGCCTAGGGAAAGCGTGGTATCTCCATCATTAGAGATATTTAAGAGTAGGTTAGGCAGACATCTGTCAGAGATGATCTAGATGGCGTTAGATCCTGCCATGAGTGCAGGGAACGGGTCTTGATGACCTCTCGGGGTCTTTTCCAGTTCTAGTATTCTATGATTCTATGATAATAGTAATCAAGATGATCCACTTATATGCAGCTATAAAAGAAATGTTAATTAGGCCACAAATCCACAATTCATTAATTTGTATTGATGAGAATCAAAGAGTAGATGCTAAGTTCATTGGTCTGTGTTTGCCTGTATCCTGATAGAAGTTTGAAAATTTAACCAAACTTGCTTGTAGATGCTAATTCCCTTTCATGTCTTAATCACCTTAATGATGTGTGCAACTGTGTCCAGTGAACCTCAAGAACAAAGACATAAGGTATTGCAGGAAACTAATTAATGTTATATACATGGTCCTCAGCAGACCATGAAGTACCAGCTAAAAACCTTAGGGGAATGAATGTTGCCAGTTTACCTGTGAATACACAGGAAATACAAGATTAGCTTCAAAGTAAAGATTTGCATGGACTATTCTTTCTCAAGGGAAGCACCTGCTGTGACAATTTCTGTGCGGAGGCATGTCGGCCTGCTAGGAGAGCTATAAAAGAGAAGCCCAGGGCCAGAGCCTGCCCTCTTCAGCCTGCTTAAACTTTGAACGGGGGAAGTATAAGTCATAGGACAGAGAGTTTCATAATTATTTGGAATACACTGGAAAATGCGCAGAAGGCCTTGAACAGATTCTACATCTGGACTACCTATTGGACTATAGCTCTTTATGTTGACTTCAGAAAGACTTTTACAAACCTGCAGCTTCTGTCTCTGCTATGAATCCAAGCAAAGGACTTTACACACACTTGCATGGATATATATTTAAACTTTAACCTCTTGCAACTCTTACCCCCGCCCTTTAATTATTAAACATTTAGTTTTAGATACTAAAAGATTGGCATCAGCAGGATTAATGTGTAAGATCTGGGACTTGTGTGGACTTGTGGAGTAGGCATCTGGCCCTTTGGGACTGGTGAACCTCCATACAGTGAATCAGGTTTTCAGTAGCTTCTCATTATATTAGACTTGTCTGTCTAGCTGGAAGCCAAGGGCTGGATTGCCTAAAGGAGACTGTTTGGCTTCTTGTTAACCATCGTGGTATTATAGAAGATGTTTTTTTTACTAGCTTAATGAATTTAATTATATAATAAAGCACCATTTGGGGGACTGTCTGCCCTATGCCATGCAGTCTGCCCTGAGCATGGCATTTCCAGTGTGGCCCATCCAGGTATCTGGTCATATACATTTACATCTTCCACTGAAGCAGCTGTGCTAGCCACTTGGCAGGCAGGATACCGGGCTAGATGGACCTTGGGTATCCTACTGTCTGGCCATTCTTATGTTGCGCCCTATGACAAGTCACTATATTGAGAACATGAGCCCTTGATAAATGGACTGGCACCATCATCACATTTTACCTGGGCCCCCAAACAGCAAACCGTGGGAAGACACAATGTCTAATTCACCACCAAAACAAGGACACTACCATCTGCCACTGCTTCTCGATGCTACTGCCTCCAGCCCAATGAAATAAATCAAAACTTTTCAATCTCGCATTGCCAGGAAAACATGTTTATTCATGTTATGGCCTGATCCAAATTCCAGTAAATTCAGTGGAAAGGCATAAGGGTGCATCTACATTGCACCCTAAACTCGAAATAAGATACGTGAATTGCACTACGCAAATTGCATAGCTTATTTTGAAATTTGGCATGTCTACACAGCACCAAATTTCGAAAGAATGCGCTATTTCACAACATCCCTTAACCCTCATAGAAAGAGGGTTACAGGGATGCTGAAATAGCACGCCTGTTATTTCGAAAAATATTTCCAAATAACGGGCAGCTTGTTAAGATGTGAGGTAGCTATTTTGGGATACTTCTGGTATCCCAAAATAGCTGCACAGTGTAGACGTACCCTAATAGTCTTTGGATCATGCCATTCTTGTGTGGCCCCTCATTAGCCTATTTACTGTGGAATATCTGAGATCACAGGTGTTCAGAACTAAATCTCTGGGCAATATTGATGGCCCCATTGCGAAACCAGACAATATCCTAACTGTTGAGCCTTGATAATCCTCAAGGACTGGATCCCAAAGGTCAGTAAATCCCATCTGAGGTGAACATGAGCTTCTGAATAATTTAAAGCCACTAACATAGAAATAGTTCCTTTGTTTCCACAAGAAGACTGGGTGAGCCTGGAGTTGGAAAAAGACCCAATAACCATAAACTCTGAGAACCCAAACCCAGAAGGCAAGGTCCACATCACTGTAAGTGACACACAAAACGGGGGATCTCAGAAGGTATCATCTCTTCCAACTGACCTTCTCCTTGGCCAAACTGGTAAGAACAGACCTATTATCTCAGACAGAGCTTGCACTCTGTAGCTGTTACAATGCTGTACCACATTAATTTTGCTATGAAACAGATAGAAATAACTCTCTGGGTCAGGTACTGTCTTGTACAAAATATTAGAGTTGTGGAGAATTTCTTCAGGCTAATAGTTTATTCACCAGAAAATGTAATTTAGTTGACCTGAAACTATTTGTGAATTTGAGAGAGAGTTATGGTGCTAGCTATTTTATTCCATTCCGGATTTAGGAGCCATGGACAAAATGGAAAAAGAGATGGTGAAGGCAGTACCTTCTTTTTCACCTTCACTGTGGTGATTCTCCTAGAATGCTGGAGACCTTGGTTCAGTTCCTCACTTTGATACGAAGCAAAAACCTACGCTTGGTTTGTCTGTTTTGCATGAGGGGCCCTATATCCTGGATGATAGTGTTATGTCTTAGGCAGTAGTTCAATTCTAAGCTTTTCCTCTTTTCATAGAATACATGAATCATCATTGGGTGAGAGAGAGAGAGGCAGAGAGAAAATAGAACATGGTGGTTAGAGTATCATTTGGAATATAGAAAACCCAAAGCCAAGATTCTACACTAATGTTTATTTAAACCGTTTTTACAATGCAGAACTGCTTCAAGATCAGAGACTAAGAAAGCCAGACATCATTATATCTCATAATCCAGTGCTTAAGGAGCTCCCCTGAAAAGTAGGAAACTCAAGTTCATATTGATACTGTGATTCTAAAACTCTAAATCTCTTTACAACATTACTGTTGGTGAACTGGTGGCAGGGAATAAATCAATGAGGACATGGCCATCCGATGAATAGATGACTGGCAAAGCAAGTAAACTACAAGGATGATTTCACTTCAAGCTCATGCACTTACACGTGTTTGCCACAGGTTACTAAACATCCCCAACATCAATAATTACCAAAGTCTGGCATCGCCTTTGAGAGGAACACTGACAGCTATCTGGTTGGCCAGTCTTGCAGCTGTCTTTGGCGATCCAACAATGTGTCCAAAAAGTGTTTCTGAAGAACCCCAGAAGAGCTCACCTACTCCATACTTTCTCCCTTTTTTATTTGTTCTAGTGCAATAATAATATGTCAATAAAAAAATTAAGCAATTTCAAAGTTTAAACAAGAGGTTTCCTCAGATCATTAATTAGACAGAGGTGGTTTTTTAGCTTCAGAGGGGTAGCCGAGTTAAGTCTGTAACTGGAAAAACTTTTAAAAAACAATGAATAGTCTAGCATCTCCTTAAAGTCTAACAAAACATTTAGGTAATACCATGAGCTTTCATGAGCACAACCCACTTCTTCAGATGAATGGAGCATGGAATCCAGAGATACAAATAAATAGCAGAAAAAGGGGGAATAGGGTGGGAAAGAGAAGGAAAAGATCCTGTCTATTAGAGTGTCCGTGCTAAATAAGGCTCATAGAGTGGGCTGTAAGTGCCTGGTACTTAGCTTTTGATGTCATTAGGACATTGAATGTAGTGGCCTATCCAGTTCAGGTCTTTGTTCAAACCTTGATTAAAAGTGTTAAATTTGCAAATGAAGGCAAGTTCTGCAGCTTCTCTCTCCAGTTTTTGAAATTGCTTTGTAACCTTTAGATCCATTAGTGAGTGCCTGAGCAAGTTAAAATGTTCCCCAACAGCTGTATTACCATTTCAAATATCGGAGACTCATTTATCTCTCTACGCTTTGGATCACACCGTTGCTGAATAATTCTCAGAATATTTAGTCTAGAGTAGCTTCAGACATCAGCACGGATGCAGACACCTGAAAGTTGCTCCTGTTGCCTGGCTTTTAAAATTTTATTTTCATCTCCCACAATAAACTGGGGTATATCTACACTGCAGGCTTCTTAGGTAAGAACGGCCATTCTTGCGCAAAAACTTGCAGAACGTCCACACTATAAGCCCATTCTTGTGCAAGAAAGTTAACAGTAGATCATCAGAAGAGAGGGCTTTTTACTCAAGAGAGTGTCCACATCTCTTTGTGCAAAAGCACATGGGAGTGTGGTCGCGCTCTTGCGCAAGAACTTTCCATTTAGAAAAAAAGCAGAGGCTAGGTTTATGCTAATGAAGTGTGGGATATTTAAATCCCTGCTTCATTAGCAATTTTGACATGCCTAATCTACAGCTCTCTGTAGATAGAGAGGTGTAGTCTAGTCATAGCCCTTGTGTGGTCAAATTACCATGAACAATCTTTTTTGCCACATTTAATCTTTTCTATGGTTAGTGTCTGGTATCCAAAATTCACATGGTGACTAGTTATCATTTCTGTTTCATGTACAGCTTGAATCTCTCTAGTCTGGCATCCTGGGGACCTGACCGGTGCTGAACCAGAGAATTTGCTGGACCACGGGAAGTCAATATTCTCTAGCAGCATTACCAACACTTCCACAGCTTGCTGGACTCTTAGGAGACATGTAAGCATTAATTAGAGCTAAATGACACTCCCGAACACTGAGAACCAGGACTGGTGGCTGTAAACACTTTATGGGACTATGAGAAAATTGGCCACGCCCCACCATAAGTGGGTATCTAAAATCATGCCAGACCACAGATGTTGTCGGATCAGAGAATGCTGGACTATAGCTGTTTAACCTGTAGTAAACAACCAGTCACTGATGAATTCTTCCTGTTTGGTCCTGAAATGAATGTCAGTGTTTGGATAAAAAGTACTTTTGCTGTAGTACTGAACATTCCATTTCTTCCAGCACTAGTGATGAACAAGATTTTTTTTTCTCCAAAACAAGCTCCTGAAATGATAATGTAAAAAGGTAAATGCAATTACCACCATCTCAGACCTTCTTGGCTAAAAGTATTGGCTTATAAATGTTGTGCTAAACAAACAAGAAAAGTCTCTTTTCCACCCCGATAGCAGACTGAGATGTGGGCACAAATAAGGACAGCAGAGGGTTTTTGAGTTTTTTGGCCCACTGTATTGGTTCTGCTTCTAATTTAGTGCTTTGAAAATTATATCTGGCAGTCATTGTTACATAAATTCTAGGCTCTGTTATCACCTTTATTTATATTTATTTCTGTAGAGTGGAGGAGAAGGCTCACCTGCCTGTCAAGTGACTATTACCCTTCTCTGGAACAACTAGCAAATTCCTTTTGGTTATACAGCCTTATCTGGAGTATGGGTAAGTGGAAGGTTTGGTAATCTCTGGCATCTAGGTTAGGACTTCCACGAAGATCCATTGTGGGTTAATCTCAGAAACGGCAGGATTTTATTTCTCACTGCCTACTTTATTCCCACGCAAATGCAGAGATAATGTCTCTTCAGAATCACACGGCGGTGTCTGAGTTCATGCTTTCAGGATTTATGAACCTTCCAATGCTGCAAGTCCCCCTTTTCATTGTGTTCTTGGTGATTTATGTAATCACGGCGGTGGGGAATCTTGGGATGATCGTGTTAGTCAAAGTGGATCCTCAACTCCACACCCCAATGTACTTCTTCCTCAGTAACTTGTCCTTCACCGACTTCTGCTATTCCTCGTCTGTCACTCCCAAAGCTCTGGAGAATTTCCTGTCAGCAAGAAAAGCCATTTCCTTCGCTGGATGCTTTGTGCAAATGTATGTGTTTATTGCTATGGCCACTACGGAGTGTATCCTCTTTGCATTAATGGCTTACGACCGCTATGTGGCTATCTGTAATCCCCTGCTCTACACAGCCGTTATGACTGAGAAATTCTGTCTCAAGATGGCAGCGGGTGCGTACACGGTGGGTTTCTTGAATTCCATGGTACACACCGTATTCACAAGCACTTTGTCCTTCTGCCGCTCCAACGTCATTGATCATTTCTTCTGCGAAAGCCTCCCTCTCCTCAAGCTCTCTTGCTCCGACACCCATATCAATGAGAGTGTCATTTTCATTTGTGCGGGGCTAAACATGGTGGGCACCCTGCTGATAATCCTGAGCTCTTACACGTGCATTCTCACCACCATCCTGAGGATCCGCTCTGCTGAGAGCAGGCGCAAGGTCTTCTCTACCTGCACCTCCCACCTGATGGCTGTTGTTTTGTTCTACGGCACGATGATCTTTATATATTTACGACCCAGCTCCAGCTACTCCCATGATCAAGACCAGGTGGCCTCCGTGTTCTATACAGTGGTTATCCCCATGCTGAACCCCCTAATCTACAGCCTGAGGAACAAGGAGGTGAGGGACGCCCTGAGGAGAGCGATGGGGTGGAAAATGTTTCCTCAGTTACTGTTAATGGGTCTTTAATGGATGATTATGCTCAAATTCTGGGGCATAATACACAACCGAGGTGATGAGATGTCACCAACAGATGTTCCCTAGCAATGGTGGTGGTGGTGGGGTTTAGAATTGTCATCCGCAGTAGCTTTCCCAGCCCTCACCCAACCCCTTCTGTCATTGGGTCCACTACTCCTACCCCTCTCATAGCTGCCTGGGTTCCTCCTATCCCGTATCTGAGCTTCATGAAAGGATATGCAATCCCACCATAAGCTTGGCCTCCCCGAATTCTGCACTCCCACCTTGTGCGATCACATGGGGGAACAGCCATGGCTAGAGAGAGAGGATTTGTGCCATGAAGGATAAATGAAAAGGAAGTTCCGGCTTGGCTGGAGACTGACCACTGATCCACTCTATCAAGACACATAGCTCTACTGTTGTTTTGTCCCTACTTCCCTTACCCCACACCCTAGTGGTGATGTCTAATCTAATTCCTAGACTTCAAACCCACTTGGGGAGGGACTCCATCTGTGATTTGTTTTCACAACGTCCTGAGCGCACAGGGTTTAAAAGAGTAGCCTGGGTGTCTTGAGATCCAATTTCATTTCCCACAAGTTTCCTATGGGACTTTTCTTCCAGTCTTTGTGGATCTTTATTTACTCATCTGTGAAGCGGGAATATCAGCACATGTGTACCTTATAGCACTGATCTGAAAATGAATACATTGCGGGAGGTGCTCAGATAGTGCAGTAAATGAATAATTGGAATGGGTGGAGTATGATGGTGCCTTTATTCTTGCTTGGGATAGCACATCAAAAATAATAAGGGACTATACACGAATGTTTGTTCCTAGCCAGAAATCAGGAGATGAGGTGGGTGTGGAACACAGAACTGAGTCTCTCTAACAAGAGGAGGAATGGATAAAGATAAGAGCGAAGATAATTTTTTAAAAAGGCTTTCGTCCAACCATCATCACATCTGACACTTAATTGGATTCAGTGGCCATGCCAGCAGAAAGCATAAGGATCAACTAGACACTAGAGGTTACACTTTTCCCTTTCCCCTAGAAGGGGTTCCATTAGAACGGAAGTGAGAAGTATTGACAAGGAAGGTATTTATATGTGGGAAGCTGGAACTCTGTTGATTATGATCCAATAATTGGATTCACCCGTGTTTGATCATTTTTATTCTTTTAGTCTCCTTCCCTGTCAATAAAATGTATTATTTACTTCTAACCAAAGTGCTCTGTTTCTTTACCTACAATCAGTACATCTGTGTCTGTTCCCCTTCCATTATCTTACCAACCCTGAACTGTGTGCTGTTGTACTACAGGCTGAACCCCTATACTCCAGCACTCTCTGGTCCAGCAACATTTGTGGTCTGGCATGATTTTAGATAGCCAGATCTCCACTTAGTATGGGTATGACCATGTTTCCCAGAGTCCCATAAAATTTGTTTCCAGCCACCAGTCCTGGCTTTCAGTGCTCTGTGCTGTTATTTGGCTCTAATTTATCCCAAATGTCTTCTAAGAGTCCAGCAAGCAGTGGATGTGTTGGTAATGCTGCTAGACAATATTGACTTTCAATGATGCAGCAAATTCTTTGCTTTGGCACCAGTGAGGTCCCGAGGGTGCTGGACCAGAGAAGTTCAACCTCTAGAAGCTCTTTGTCTTCCTTCTGGACTTTCTTGCCCACAAACTGTTGGGAGGCTTCACTGTATTTATCCCCACGATTGCTGCATTTTTGCTCTGTTCTTCCAATGTGGGTCTCAAACCAATGTTCTCCACATTCAACTCACCTGACTGGGGGCAGCAGGGCAGCGGGGCTGGCCAGGAA